CCCCAAAACCCCAAAACCCCAAAACCCCTTTATCAATATTAAGATTTGAAAAAGAAGTTTGCCGTGGATAAAACAGAAGGAGCACTAGAGTTAGGATTTTTATGAGAATTGTTCATCAGATAATGACGATTCGAGGACTCCATACTCCTCTGACGAGCAATACGGAGGCCAAAACTTTGTTACATTAGGAGCTTCCCCTCAATATTTCTCCTCTATTTGAGATGGATGTGCCATGCTAGTTAGAGCAGGGTCTGTAGCATCTGCTTTTTTTGTTATGATCTTGTGTTTGATGATCTTGTTTAGGAAAGGAGATATCATAGTCCAGATAGCTAGGAGACCAAAGGTGACGTTAAAGAAGAAGAACAGTCTCATTCTTCATTTTAAATGTTCTTGGTAATCTGTCATAATATTCTTAAGCGCACTTTTTGGCAATTTTGCAAATGAAAGCCCTGCTAGATCTCAAATAAACAGCCAATTTTCGACTTTTCCCTTCCTGAGAAAGTTATCAACCAGAAGGAAGCATATGAGCCAATTAAGCCTAGGTACCTCTTCTATCTCAATACCAAGTTCTTCTATTACACTCATACTTGAAAATCACATTGGTCGCAAGCACTTATCTCTCCCATGGATGTAAATATATCCCACATCAAGCATTTTCTTATGTACAACTGATAAGATGAAAGGTTTCATAGTATCCCTCCACAAGAGATGATTCTTAATATTCTGATACGCTTTCTTAGGCTTATACTGGTTGGTAACCAAGAACCTATAATAATAAACGATCATGGTTACCTCATACATCTCCTCTTGTCTATCTCAGCTGGGAGGACCATCTTCCTTATCAAATATCTCCAGCAGTTGTTCATAGGCTTTTTCTTCCTCTTCTGTGTATGGGTCTTCGATAGGGAAAATCATCCGTTCTTTCTCATTCTTGTCGTGATTGTAGAATATTGTCGAGTCTTCAGGGGTACAGATGTATATATTCCTGAATTATAGTAAGATTAAGACATATTTTGATAATTTTATTAGGGATCTACATCTTTCTGGTATATCTCTCCACTACTTCAGGATCTGTCACCTTTGGATTCGTGTAGTAATACTCATAATCTAGAGGAATTAAGAGGCTTTTATAAGGCAAATTACCTTCCTTTGGAATACTACTTTCCATTTGAGGTGTGATAGTAGTGGTGGTCAAGTCAATATTTTGCCAGTCTACTTCTGAAGTTTCCATTTTGAGATTTGTTTTATTTCTTTATCAATATTAAGATTTGAAAAAGGGGTTTTGGGGTTTTGGGGTTTTGGGGTTTTGGGG